TTTGTAATATTAAACCGAGTTCTTAGGTATTTATTTTGAAATTATGAAATTAGAATGAGTTACATAATATTGACTTGAAATGCATTATTAATTTGTTAGTTTGTTTCTAATTTTATATTAAACATGTCATGGTATTAGTGTAGATCTTATTTTGAATGAAAATAAAATGTGTTATACACTTACAATACATTGAATTACATTTTAATTGATTTTTTATTTTAATATGTATTGAACCTATCATGTTAGAAATTTGAACTTTAGATATTATTTGGAGTTATTTTAACCATCTTAAAAAATGTCTGTAATTTGTAATATTAAACCGAGTTCTTAGGTATTTATTTTGAAATTATGAAATTAGAATGAGTTACATAATATTGACTTGAAATGCATTATTAATTTGTTAGTTTGTTTCTAATTTTATATTAAACATGTCATGGTATTAGTGTAGATCTTATTTTGAATGAAAATAAAATGTGTTATACACTTACAATACATTGAATTACATTTTAATTGATTTTTTATTTTAATATGTATTGAACCTATCATGTTAGAAATTTGAACTTTAGATATTATTTGGAGTTATTTTAACCATCTTAAAAAAGTATAGTTATAATAATATAACAAATCTGTCTTCCTTGATTATTTTAATTAATTTTAACGTATTGTCGCGATTATAGAGTAAGAAATCCGGCCCCCGACCGCCAAATCCTTGCTCCGCCCCTGTTTGGATGCCATCGGTTAGCTAGTAGAACTGGTGATATGCTCTTTTGGTGACTTGTTGTCAAGGCCATGAAAATGAATGTTGCTTTAGATTGTTGAGATTAGTCTGGTCTTGATTTGAAATTGTTTGCTACCACGGTGGGATGCTTAGTTTGATATCCTTCGCCCGTGGGATCATATAATACCCCATGGTCCTATTCAACTACTTCTTCTTCTTCTTTGGACTCTTATTTGGGTTGAGCAGGAACCACAAGTCTCTTCCTAGATTGCCTTAACTCCATCCTACGAGCAAGTAGCCGAAGAGTCCAATTTATGTTGTTGTCTAATGACATCAAGTGATCCGTGTTGCTCCGGGTCATACACCCCCTGAAACCACTTCAAACAACACAAACATGGAGAACAAAAGCAAGGTCCAACACAAAATGCTAGAAAATAAAAGCTATATTAACAATATATCACTTTATGGAGAGCTCATCAAGGCGAACAGATCCATGGCGGTTAACTTCCCTGCCAAGGTGATCTGGCAGAATTCTATCCCCCACAAAGTTTGTGTTTTCTTGTGGATTGTTTTCCAGAAGAAGATCCTTACACATGATACTCTTAAGCGGAGAGGTTGGTCCTTTCCAAGTCGTTGTGTGCTGTGTGGCGAAGATGAAGAGACGATTCACCATCTCTTCCTCTTATGTCGTTTCTCTCGCGAAGTGTGGAAGGGGATGAGCACTTTTGTTCCGATTCAAGATCAGTCCAAGACATTGTCAATACCATCAGATCATGGCGCTGCAGTTGTTGCCTCCAATACCGCAGGAGTGGTGCGCGAACATCTTCTTACATGCTTTCTGTTGGCGGATTTGGCTGGAGAGGAATGCTCGGATCTTTAGAGATGACTATTGTTCCATTCGAGGAACTTGCTTTAGAATCATTTGTAGCATTCATGACTGGCTTTGCGCCTCGAGCAGGGTCGACAGAGCTGTTGCTGACCAGTGGCGGTGCTTGGCCAAGGATCGGCTCTTCCCGAGCTCCCTTGCGGCTGGTGACGAGGGTTCTGATCGGCTTTCTTTGACTGGATTTCAGTGACGTTGCTTTTGCTTGGTCCCTGTTACCTCGCGCTCGTTTGTATCCTGTTCTCTCTGCTGATTGCCTTCTGGTTGTTTCTTTGCTGCAGTTTTGACCTTGGTCGCTGTATGTTTGGCTTCCTAGAGCAGGGTTTCCTTTTTTCTCCTGTTCCTTACCTTCTTTGTAACTACTTCGTTTATTATTTAATCTATATCAACATTATCAAAAAAAAAAAACAATATATCACTTTTTCTGATAATATACCATTTTCCCTGACAATGGCGCCAGAAAGCGTGGCTCACTACTAATTATACCTATCCCAATCAAAGGGCAAGTGCAACCTCAATCGGGTGTATTATAGAGAAAGTATTTTCGAATTATCAAACCCAGGCGGTCTATCTACCCTTACTTTAGCAACCTAAGTGTTATCTAGCGAACAATTTGTTGTTTTAAACTAACAAACTAAACAAGCATGCAAGTAAACTGTAGTTGAAGATTTCCCCCAGTCTAGTGTTGATTCCATATTGTGATACCCTAGCACAATTCACACTTAACATATATTGTAGGAGTTCCAAGCTAGATAGAAGTCTCTATTCGAATTGTCCCATCTTGCCTAATTGTACCCAGAGAGGCGTACCGAACTACCGACCTCGGCAATTGGGGTAACCAAATCCACTCCTTAAATGGGTAAAGACTCAAAATGGCTCTAGGAGTCTAATCATAGTCGTTCGTAGACCCCAAAGAATTGATTAGGCAATGCTCTAAATTGACCCTAAGGAGATGTTCTCTCACTTAGGTCAATTAGCCCCAAATTTGGGGAAATGATGAAGAACCTCCAATCTTCATGAATAATTCACAAATAAATAATTATGAATCATGCAAATCAACACATAGGTTTCACAATCATTCAACTACAACATAATAGAGTAGAGTCCTGCATCATCAAAGTGACTAGAAGTACTACTCCATGGCTAGAGTAAGAAACACAACCAAATAGAAGAAAACTATCATAGTGATGAGAAGCTCCTCCTTCTTGGTTTCTTGGGATGGTCTTGAAGAAGGAATCAAACTTTCTTGGGTGTTGTGTAGTTCAAATGCTCATTCAATCTCCTCTTGCTTGTCACTTTCTCTATAGATGGAAGAAGATCTCTAATTCTCTCTCAAAAAGCCAATATCCCCTTCAAAATCAACTCTCTCTGATATTTTATACTTGACAGTGCAATCTTCAGGGCCTCCCGTCACGCCTGTGATGTGTGCAGTTGATGAACTCGATATTTCACCATCAATATCATCCTTATATATCCATGTGTAAAAAGATGCCAACAGGTCATCTCATTCCATGATGGAATAATAACCTATCAAATATCTACCTCATGCCCATTCACTAAATACGTAGGAAGTTAGTTGCCTTTTTTATTTGGGTAGGTAGAGGGTTTACTCTCAAAAAACTCAATATAATTATCATGACTTTTATCCCCTCTGTTACACGTGGGGTAGTCTTTTAAGTTAAGTGCTGGCTTCGGTTTCTTTGCCTCATCAAAACACCCCAAAAAGTTCAACTTCCTCTTTCACGTGGACGAAGAGTGGGATGTGGCAAGCTAGCATTTTTCATCAAAGGAAACCCAACTACACACACATCAGCCATGCAATGCTCATTACTGTAATGCATGAGGTGAATGTTTTATAAATTGTGTTTCCTTATAATTATGTCAAGCAACCATTCTCAATAGCCAACTCACTCATATGTGGAAGTGACAAGCAAGGTAAACTTGTTTGTTCTTTCAATTTGTTAGTATTAGTGTTTCCTTTTATTTCACCAAAACCACCAAAATTCATTTTCCTGTATCAATATACAGTGGAAAAGGAGGTGGCAGAATAAGAATTCCCTTATATCGGCCACCACCGAAACCCATTTTCCCTTTGGCTACACGTGGGTCAACATAAAGGAAAGGGTTGTGTTTCTTTGGCCATCAAACAACTTCCCATACTTTATACTTTTTTTTGACAATTTCCCATACTTTATACGTTGCCTAGCGGAATATATATGTTACGCGGGTTTCTTTGTTTCTTGCATAATCTATTACTAAATTGTTGATGAGTGTTCGTTAACCACCCGCATATCCATTACACATTAGGTTGGTTGGAAGCTAAATAATTTTTTTATATTATTTTATTCTTTATACGCCACCCACACCAGAAGTCGGAGGCACCTATAAATATGACACTTATTTATGCTTTCTGGGGAGTTATAAAAAATAGAATCTCAAACCTCAAGAATTCACTTTCTCGGAACGAGATCAAAAAGGGAGTTGAACTCTATCTAAATCTCTTTTCCTCTCAAGTGTCAACTCAGTAAGCCGCTTCCAGTCACTCTCCTCCCAAATAATGACTTGAGCTTCGAAGCACGTCCCCGGCGAATAATAGCCGACATTAAGAGTGTAAACAATGAATATATTTTGTGTTTCTTTTATAATATGAAAACTCATATTGGTTGTTTATGAAAATACCAATTGTAGTAGTCGTTATTTTTTATATATAAAAATTATATAGATATTCTTAATTAATTATATTTATTAAGTATTTATAATATGAAAAGAGGACAGGGGTAGTTTGAAATCCTGCCTCCGCGCCATTGTCTCCATTGTAAGAGAATTTTCTAATGAACCAGCAAAAGCACCTTCTGAAGCTTCCCTTGCCTTCTTGTTTTTTAACTTGAAGCAGTCTTTGATTAGATGCCCCTCTTTCTTGTAGTAGGAACAAATTTTCTTCCCATCTGTGTCCTGACTGACTGATATGCAGGATTCAACCCTTAAATAAACTTGATTAAAAAACCGTTCTCCTCGTACCTTTTCAGAGTCTCATATGGTCCAGGATTACAAGGGCCAACATGTATGAGTCTGTATCTCTTGTATCATAGATGATTTTCATTGTTTTGTCTACAAAAGGATAGAGAACGGAACCTATTAACACTAATCATGATGACGACATTTGTCATCTCCAAAAACTTTTGAGACGAACAACCATTGTTTTGAGGGAAACTTTTTTTCGTCTTGTAATATCCACAAACCTTTGATTTTAAATGACCGTCATTCCAAGAATGGCCCATATTTTCAACAAATCTCACGTACAAACAAATTCAAAACCACGCATATATCAATTAGCTCCAATTAATTCCAGATCTAAATCATCATTCCTCTTTGAGGCCGAAGATAGAGATGATGTGATGGTTCCAACAATAATTAACTCGCACAGATCGATTAACAAGCTGGTCTCAGGTCCGGATCAAGACACATATTCTTGGTTCACTACACTAGCACAGCTGGATCTCTGGCTCGGCGGCTGCAGCACTGCACCACCTTCTTAAACATGCACCTACACACTCGTAGCTTCAGCATGCAGAACAAGAAGAGGGCCAACACTGACGACGACCCACTTATGAGGAACAAACCATCGAACCTCTCTAACGTAAGAGGCTTCACAGAATCATCATCCTCGTCCTCCACGGGAACATCACGATCTCCTTGTCGGCCGTTGAACCACGCGTCTTGCATCAACTGCAGCTTCCCTTCTTCCCTCAGTTTCGCTATTGCGGCTGACATGTCTCCCGCCAACCGCGAACCCTTCGGAAAAGGCTGATTATTCATAGCAACCTTTTGGATGAGAAAAAACAAAAAAAAAAAAAAACCGAGACAAGAACAGTACTGTTTTAAAAAGAAACAACTTACGAAGCCAAAGCCGTTGGCGTTGGGCAAGACAGTGCCAGCCATGGAGAACTCCTTGGTGTTGAGAAACGGAACAGAACGAATAACTAGAAGCGAAATCGAAACAGAGACACAGATTTACGTGGGGGGGGGGGGGGGGGGGGGGGGGGGGGGGGGCACTCTATAGCTTGCTTCTTCTTCAAGATCTTATCTCTGCTCTGCTTACAATTTAAGCTCAAATAGCACTCTCACTTGAAAGTGATGCACAAATATTCTCCGGAATATTTACCCAATCTATTGCTTTGGTGGTTATTCGAGGACTCCGCTGCTGCGCAACCCAAATCTCTCCTTCACATACATACTGATAGAGAAGAAGATATCAGAGAGAGAAAGGGAAACAGAGGAATTTGATGGATTCGGGCAGTAGCCGGAATTTCCAGAACCAGAGTGAGCAATCCGGGTCGGGTTTGCTGCGGTTTCGATCGGCTCCGAGCACCCTTCTCTCCAATTTCGGCGGTCAGGAGCAGGGAGCAATCGGCGATGATTCCCCCGCCATGGGGTTTCGAGAATTGGACGGCAAATCCGCCGCCAAAGTGAAAGGAGCGGCAAACAGCGGCGGCGGGTACCCGAATTCTTCGACGCTGGCCCGGAGTTACTCCGGGTTGCCGCCTCATTATCCGAAGGCCGATACGGCGTCGTCGGGCGTGGATAGGGATGGTTCCTACGGCTTGATGATGGCTTCCTTGGGGATAAACCAGAACGAGGCGGCGAGGACGCTCAAGACAGTTGACTATTCGAGTTTGGGGAGGCAGAGCAGCTCCCCTGCTGGATTTTTTGAGGACCTTTCTTCTCACAATGGTATTCTTTCTTCTCTTGATTTCTACTTTTCCTCCTTTTTCAGGAAAATACCATTTGATTTTGTAGATGTCTATTACCATGATTGATTAATCATTAGCAGTAATTGTCATTTTCTCTGATAGAATTAGAATTAGGGTTCTGGGTTATCTTAGAAGTTTCCGGAATAAGATGTATGGCTTCTGAAGTAGAAGCAGAGCAAAGTTAGGTGTTATTGAAAGTGGGCAAGAGGGGAAGGCTCACTTTACTAAGTGGGTCATCCTTTTGTGATTTGACCTATTTCAATTGGGAATATAATATTAAGGTGTTTGTTAACTAAACAAAACAATAACTGCAATTTGTTGCGAGACATTACACTAATACAGAAAGGGGAAAAAAAAGGTTCAACGCACCCTGTAATAAAATTAGATCACCATGGAAACGAATGAAACATTCGTCTCAGCGAAATTGCAGGTAATTATCCAAGCATGAAGGGCTACAATCCCACTAATCAGATGGGTGCTAATAATGGCGGGGAAGAAAGCAGCCCGAGACAGAGACCGCAACTTAGCTTCTCGTCGAGGATTTCTCCTTCCATGACAATGTTGTCGTCCGACATTGATCTCGAACATGTCTCCCCAAGCAGCCCGGAGAGCCCGAGCCTCGTCGGTGTCTACGGCGGTGCAGGGTTCCCTTACGGCGGGGCATCATGGAACGAGCCCCATTTCGGCGACACTGCTTCGATTGCTCATCATCACCGCCAGGTTAGTTTATCATTATCACAAACCACCATCACCAGATTAAAGCTATAGATAAGTTCATCAACTTAATTTGTTTTTGGGTGGTAACAGAATGGAGGAGAGATTGGAGTCCACGGGTTGTCCCGCCACTTGAGCTTGCCCAACAAGGCTGGTGCTTCAGGGGAGATGGACACTTTCCTGCGGTTCCAGGATTCTGTTCCTTGCAAGATCAGAGCCAAGCGTGGCTGCGCCACTCATCCTCGAAGCATTGCCGAAAGAGTATGTCCAATCCAACCAAGTCCACCTAGTTAATCATGGCCGAACTCAGTTAATCAAATTGCTGGATGCTGTGTTGTTGCAGGTGAGGAGGACTCGGATCAGCGAAAGAATGAGGAAACTACAAGACTTGGTACCAAACATGGACAAGGTAACCAGCTAGAAACTTGAATTCGTGGTTATCATTATTTGCAATCCGTACTTTCTGTTACAATGTTGATGGTATATATTGCTGTTGTCTGTTTGTTTGTTTGTTTGTTTGTTTGTTTGTATGTTGGCAGCAAACCAACACAGCCGACATGCTGGATTTGGCGGTTGACTACATCAAGGATCTTCAGGCACAGTACAAGGCATGTACTTTTTCTGATTACCCACTTTCATGTCAAACCAGCCCAACTTCCTGCTAATTGTCCTTCTCCTTGTATAGCAGAATCTGAACGAGATCAGATCCAACTGCACTTGTTCACATAAGCGGCAGGGTGGCCAGAGCCAAAACTAACGCTGCCATGAGACCAGCTTCCAATTAAGTAATTGGTTGTCTTGTTTACTGGGCATGGGACATGGCGAGCATGAAGCAGAGGAGCTTCAATAGTAGCGTATGTGCCATCTTCCAGTTAATGTTGGAAACCTTTGGACAGTAAGTTAGCAGAGTTTTTTTTTTGGTTTCACAGGTTCCCTCAACACATGACCAAACATGCACTAGGGAGGGAGACATTAGTGAAGAGACTTGTACAGGAGGAAGAATAATAATGTTGTACTAGTCCATGCAATAAAATTTTGTTGAGAGAAATTTTACACGCTAGCTACGAATGAACCGGTAGTCTGAACTTTTATCACAACAGAATTTTTTTGTTAGGAGTGAAATAGAGTTTGGATGGTTTAGAGAAGGAATTTGGATGAACGATTTATCTCAAGTCTCTTGTTAGGTTGGATTTCATGCAAATCACTCGTTTGGAAACCACTCTCAGAATAAAGGATTTTGAGGCTCTTGGATTGTGAAAACCGTCTATGGTTGAAATTCAAAATAGTTTACCCCGAGCTATTTTGATATCTGGTAGCAATTTGTCAATTCGTTCTCAGCCTGTGACTAGTCTTTTTTTATTTTATTATCCCCATTCACCGTCACTCTCATTTTCGTTGATCGTTATGATTTTCCATGCACGTCCACCGACAACATTGACTGGTCAAGAACAGTGTCATTTGTGAGGATGAGAGGAGAGCAACAGCCATCAAGCGTATGTTGCCGTTTATTTGACGACTTAGTGTTGGACTTAGTTGTCGTTAGTTGTTGTTAATAGTAGTAAAGTGAAGTTTGCCTAAGCCAAACCCTTGGTGGAATTGATGTACGGGTTAGGGCCAGAGGTATATATATCCTCCTTGCATGCTGCTGTAGCAGTCGAGTTGGGTGTGTAAGTTGATTAATAAAAGTTCAGCTGATAATCTCTTGTGGAGCTTCTCCGTGGATTAGTCCCATACACATTGAACGGGGATACCACATAAATTATTCGCGTTGTTTCGTTTTCCGCGTTCTACTTATTTTACATGGTATCAGAGCTATCACGATCGGCAATCTGTTAGTTCATGATGAGTGACGATGAGAAGCAGGAGACCGCGTCCGACAAGGCAACCCTCGGGTCATCTGGTGGTTCTTCGAAGCTTGACAGCGATCTCACCTCACCATATTTCATCAGCCAGTCCGATAATCCTAATCAGGTATACGTTGGTGAATTGTTGAAGGAGGTTAATTATACTGATTGGGTTCATGATATGACCAACTCCTTGCTTGGTAAGAATAAGCTAGGGTTTGTTGATGGTTCTTTCCCGGCACCCACCGATTCCCTTGAGCTACGAAGTTGGCATCGTGTCGATGCCATGGTTAAGGGGTGGTTCAAATTCGTCGTGGCGCTCGTTATGCCCAGACCGCCAGAGAGTTTGGGTTGATTTGAATGAATGTTTTGCTCAGAGTAGTGCTCCGCGGGTATACGAGATTCGTTGTCGCATTAATCGTCTTACTCAAGAAAAGTTAACTGTCCCTGCATTTTATACTCACCTGCGTAATCTATGGGATGAGGTGTTGTCCATGGCTCCGCTCCACTCTTGTACGTGTGCTAAGTGTTATTGTGGTGCCGACTGTAAGAATCAGGAGAGGGAGGAAAAGTTTCGCCTCTATGAGTTCCTGATGGGGCTTGATGAGTCCTTTTCCATCGTCAAAACTCAAGTTCTTTCTATGAAGACACTACCCACCTTATCGGAAGCCTACCTGCTTGTTTCAAATGATGCTCATCAGCGTCGTCTTGCGGTTCGCAATCGTCCTAGTTCTGAAGCTGTCGCGTTTCTTGTTCGTGATGATATGCCTTCTGAGGAGTCTTCTTCGGATGGACGTGGTCGTCATAAGTGCACCCATTGTGGGAAAATTGGCCATCTCAAGGATTGGTGTTTCGATCTCATTGGCTGGCCGGATCGTCCACCTTCTAAACCGGATGGCGCGGGGAGGGAGAAAGGGTCGGAGCCTGAAGTCCACTCCTAAGGTAGCTGCTGTTGAGGTTGGTGAGAGTCCGGTCGCCGGACTAAGCATGTCACAGCTAGCGCAACTCAAGGAGTTCTTGGTTGGGTCCTCATTCTCGTCGGAAGCTTCGGCAACCAAGCTTACGGGTACTTTCTCTTGTTCTTCTTCGTGGGGTTTGGATTCGGGATGTAATGAGCACATTGTTCACGATGTGTCTCTTCTTTCTCATGGTTATCAACCGTCTGATTTGCGGGTTGGGATTCCTAATGGGATCTCGGTTAATGTTGCTCAAGTTGGGTCTGTGTGCATGAGTAACGGGATGGTTTTGCCTCGTGTTTTGTTGGTTCCCGAGTTCAAGTGTAATCTATTGTCGATCAGTCGGCTCACACAAGAGATTCCCATCACTCTAATCTTCCTTCATAATTTATGTATTCTACAGGACTTGCGTTGCAAGAAGATGATTGGGATGGGCCAACAACGTGACGGGTTATATTATCTCCGCTTATTTGATGGCGTAAGGGAAGCTGTTGTCCATGCCGCAACTCGAGAGGATCGTTTGTTAGCTTCGTTGTGGCATGCTCGCTTAGGCCATCTGTCCATGGAGAAGTTTTCATTATTGCCTTTTGTTTCGAGTTCTAAACAGTCTGGACTGGACCGTTGCTCTTCTTGTTTACGAGCTAAACAGACATGTAGTCCTTTCCCGTCCAGTTCTATTAAGACTTCTCGTCCTTTTGAGTTGATTCATGTTGATATTTGGGGTGGCTATAAGGACCCGTCAATGAGTGGTGCGCATTATTTTCTTACTCTGGTGGATAATTTTTCACTTGCTGTTTGGGTATATCTTCTTCGATATAAGTCGGAAGTTGCTGGTTATTTGATGATGTTTTTTCAACAAGCTAAACGTCAGTATATTTCTTCTGTTGTTCGTATACAGGCTGATAATGGTGTGGAGTTTCAAACTAATGTTCTTAAAAAGTACTACGAGAGTGAAGCGATTGTGTTACAAACCTCGTGTACTGATACACCGCAGCAGAACGGGGTCGTCGAGAGGAAGCATCGACATTTATTAGAGACAGCTCGCTCTCTACGTTTTCATGCCTCCCTGCCGATCAAATTCTGGGGGGAATGTGTTCTTACCGCAGCTTACCTCATCAACCGGCTCCCTTCTTCGGTGACTGCGAATGATACTCCATTTGAGCGTCTTTTCGACAAGAAACCCACGTATAATCACCTTCGGACGTTTGGATGTTTAGCGTATGCTAAGGATACCCGTTTTTCTCTCGACAAGTTTGCCGCGAGGGTGGGAGAATGTGTTTTTCTCGGTTATCCGACTGCTCAGAAAGGTTATCGTGTTTTTGATTTGACTACTCACTCCATGTTTACATCTCGTGATGTAGTATTTTGTGAGGAGAAATTTCCTTTCACCGCCGATTCATTTGGACTCAAGTCCTTGTTTCTCTCTTGATGATCGTTCTCATGACCTGGCCGCAGACGAGATGGTTCCCTTTGTTGATATGGTGAATACTGAGGAGGAATCCACTCCTCTTTCTTCCTCGCAACCGGCCAGCGAGTCCTCTAGCTCGCCTCCTGACTCGCCTTCTAGTTCATCACCCCCAGCCACGGGTGATTCTTCTCCTTCGTCGTCCACTACATCCTTGCCGCAGTCTTCTCCAGTCCTGGTTGTTGAGTTGCGTCGTGGTGATCGTCTCCGCCAGGTACCCTGTCATCTTGATATTTATGAGGTGACGTTGCCCTCGGCAAATTCATGTGTGAAATACCCCTTACATGATGTGCTCAGTTATGACCGTTTATCCCCAAGTTATCGTGCATTTGCAGCTGCTCTTACTCGTCATGTAGAGCCTCGCACATTCTCTGAAGCTGTTATCCATGCATGCTGGCGAGAAGCTATGCAACAGGAGTTTGATGCTCCCGTTGCCAATGGCACCTGGGAGTTACAACCCTTGCCCCCGGGCAAGAAACTGGTTGGTTCGAAGTAGATTTTTAAGATTAAATATCGTCCTGATGGCAGCATTGAGAGGTTCAAAGCCCGTCTTGTTGCACAGGGGTACACGCAGAAGGAAGGGATTGATTTTCATGAGACTTTTGCGCCTGTTGCAAAGTTAGTTACAGTTCGTTGTGTCTTAGCTCTTGTGGCACAACGCGGTTGGTTCCTTCATCAATTGGACGTGAACAATGCCTTTCTTCACGGCGATCTTGATGACGAAGTTTATATGCGAGTTCCTGATGGTTTTGCTCGACCGGGGGACACACGAGTATGTCGTCTTCACAAGTCGTTGTACGGATTACGTCAGGCATCACAGAACTGGTATAAAAAGTTCACCATGGCCTTTTTATCCTATGGTTTCAGTTGTTCACGGGCTGACCACTCTTTATTCTCGTATCAGAAGAATTGAGTGTTCATTTTCGCTCTCATCTACGTCGATAATATCGTGCTTGGGGGTGATAGTTGGGAAGTCATTGAATGGGTCAAAGTGTTCTTGAAGAAAGAATTCAGCATCAATGATTTAGGTCCTTTGAAATACTTTCTGGGTATCGAGGTTGCGAGGTCACGCCATGGGATCTCCTTGTCGCAGAGGAAGTATACGTTGGACATTCTCAATGATGCAGGTGCGCTTGGGTCAAGCCTTGATCTTTTCCCATTGAAAAAAATCATCATCTAACTCGTGTAGAGGGTCCGGCAGGACACGATCCATCGGCATACAAACGATTAGTTGGGAGACTGTTATACCTCACGGTCACTCGACCTAATATCACCTATGCGGTTAATATACTGAGTCAGGTTGTGCACTCGCCTAGACAACAACACGTGGAGGCTACGTATCGGATTCTTCGTTACTTGAAACATGCTCCTAGGCATGGTTTGTTTCTCCCAAATGACAGTAGTCCAGTTTTAACTGCTTACTGCGTTGCAGATTGGGGTGGTTGTTAGGAGACTCGTCGTTCAAATTCTGGGTACTTTACTCAGCTTGGACTTAGTCCCATATCTTGGCGAACCAAGAAGCAGTCAGTGGTAGCACGTTCGTCGGCTGAAGCTGAGTACAGATCGATGGCAGTTACAGTGAGTGAATTAATTTGGTTACGTTGGTTGTTGCAGGAGTTAGGGGTGCATCTTAATACACCTACTGCGTTGTATTGTGATAATCAAGCGGCGTTGCACATGGCAGCAAATCCAATTTTCCACGAGCGCATGAAGCATGTGGAAATGAATTGTTATTTTGTGCGAGAGCGTGTGGTATCTAAAGACGTCGAGCCTAAGAAGATTTTGTCCAGTGATCAAGTCGTTGATGTATTCACGAAAGGTTTGGGTAGCGAGCAGTTTACTTA